TTTATTTTTAGTACAGTGATTTTAAATAGTGTATGTGTCTACGTTGGGTGAGGGGAGTTGGGTTTTCACCCCTCCCCAGGAGAATTTGGCAATAACTGAAGATATTGCTGGTTCTTACAACTTGGGGGTAGGAAAGGTGCTACAGCCATGTAGTGAATAGAGGCTAGGAATGCAGCAAAACATCCCTAAAATTCACAGAACAGTTTCCTGCAACAAAAAACTATCCAACCCCAAATGTCAATGGTGTCAAAGTTGAGACAGCAGGACTGTAGAATAGCACCAGACTGAAAGTCAGAGTTAGGACAAAGAATGATGAATTATCTTTGATATGATCTGTCCAAAAATATCACAAAGTAATTTTTTAAACCTAAAATGCATGTAGTTTGGACTGGATTTTATAGACTTAGATTAAATTAAAAGGATCATGGACATTAGATTAAGACACCTGGATTCAGTAGTTACTTCCGTATCACTCATTTTCCTATTTTGTAAAATTGAGAAAACAAAATATCACAGAATTTTTCTGAGATTCTAATGGAGATAGAGTATATAGTATGTGGGATATGTGGAAAACATTCAATAAATTTTATTTTTTTTATTTTTGTCACTTAATATTTTATCTTTTTACTCCATTATTTAAAATTTTTGTTTAAATTCAATTAGCCAACATATAGTACATCATTATTTTCAGATGTAGAGTTCAGTAATTCATCAGTTGTATATAACACCCACTGCTCAACACAACATATGCTCTCCTAATGCCTGTCACCAAGTTACCCCATCCCTCCACCCACTTCCCCTCCAGCAACCCTCACTTTGTTTCCTATAGTTAAGAGTCTCTCAGGGCGCCCGGGTGGCTCAGTCGTTGAGCGTCTGCCTTCGCCTCAGGTCGTGATCCTGGGGTCTAGAATCAAGCCTTCATCAGGCTCCCTGCTCCAAGAAAGGCTTGCTTCTCCCTCTTCCATTCCCACTGCTTGTGTTCCCTCTCTCACTATGTCTCTCTCTGTCAAATAAATAAATAAAATCTTTAAGAAAAAAAAAAAAAAGAGTCTCTCATGGTGTCTTTCTCTCTAATTTCTTGCCATGCAGTTTTCCCTCCCTTCCCCTATGATCCTCTGCACTTTCTTATATTCCACAAATGAATGAAACCATATGATAATTGTCTTTCTCTGACTGACTTATTTCACTCAGCATAATACCCTCCAGTTCCATATGCACGTCAATGTAAATGTTAAGATTTAATCCTTTTGATGGCTGCTTAGTACTCCATTGTGTGTGTGTGTGTGTGTGTGTACCCACATCTTCTTTATCCATCTGTCTATGGACATCTGGGTTCTTTCCATAGTTTGAGGCTATTGTGGACATTGCTGCTATAAACATTGGGGTGCATGTGCCCCTTCAGATCACTACATTTGTATCTTTGGGGTAAATGCCCTGTAGTGCAATTGCTGGGTCATATGGTAGCTCTATTTTTAACTTCTTGAGGAAACTCCATATTGTTTTCCAGAGTGGCTGTACCAGCTTGCATTCCCACCAACAGTGTAGGAAGATTCCCCTTTCTCCACATCCTTGCCAACACCTGTTGTTTCCTGACTTGTTAATTTTAACCATCCTGACTGCTGTGAGGTAGTAGCTCATTGTGGTTTTGATCTGTATTTCCCTGATGCTAAGTGATGTTGAGTACTTTTTCATGTGTCCATTGGCCATTTGGATGTCTTCTTTAGAGAAATGTCTGTTCATGTCTTCTGCCCATTTCTTGACTGGATTATTTGTTCTTTAGGTGTTGAGTTTGAGAAGTTCTTTATAGATTTTGGATACTAGCCCTTTATCTGATGTTATTTGCACATATCTTCTCCCTTTCTGTAGGTTACCTTTTGGTTTTGTTGACTGTTTCCTTTACTATGCAGAAGCTTTTTATCTTGATGAAGTCCCAATAGTTCATTCTTGCCTTTGTTTCCCTTGCCTTTGGAGAAGTGTCTAGCAAGAAGTTGCTGTGGCTGGGGTCGAAGAGGTTACTGCCTGTGTTCTCTTCTAGGATTTTGATGGATTCCTGTCTCACATTGAGGTCTTTCATCCATTTTGAGTTTATCTTTGTGTATGGTGTAAGAGAATGGTCCATTCTTATTCTTCTACATATGGCTGTCCAATATCCCCAACACCATTTGTTGAAGAGACTATCTTTTTTCCATTGGACATTCTTTCCTGCTTTGTCAAAGATTTGTTGACCATAGAGTTGAGGGTCCATTTCTGGGCTCTCTATTCTGTTCCATTGATTTATGTTTCTGTTTTTGTGCCAGTACCATACTGTCTTGCCGATGACAGCTTTGTAACAGAGCTTGAAGTCCAGAATTGTGATGCCACCAGGTTTGGTTTTCTTTTTCAACATTACCCTGGCTATTCAGGATCTTTTCTGGCTCCATACATATTCTAGGATTGTTTGTTCCAGCTCTGTGAAAAAAAAAATTGATGGTATTTTGATAGGGACTGCATTAAATGTGTAGATTGCTCTGGGCAGCATAGACATTTTAACATTTGTTCTTCCAATCCATGAGCATGGAATGTTTTTCCATTTCTTTGTGTCTTACTTAATTTCTTTCATAAGTGTTCTGTAGGTTTTAGAGTACAGACCTTTTACCTCTTTGGTTAGGTTTATTCCTAGGTATCTTGTGGTTTTTGATGTAATAATAAATTTTAACTGAATTGCATTTTTATTTGAGTTCTGCCCAGAATAGAGCCTGTGGTCAGCACTGCAGGGTTATAGGTGATATACTGGCATATTTGAGAGGTGAACCCTGGAAGGGCACAGTTTCAAGAGTGAACAAAGAAGGAAGAGATACCTTATTAAGATATATTACTGAGTCTGCTGAGGTCATTATCGTGTGAAAGAATGGCTATTTTAGTGGTAACTTCAGAAAGCCCTCAGAAGTCTTCCCAGAGCTGTACACCTTGAATAAAGAAGTTTAGGGATATTTATATACAGAATGCCATTCATCCTTCTCTGACAATTTCCCCCACAGCTAATGCTCCAGCAATTCAGCCTTGCTTGCATAAAACCTGAGCCCTGGAAGAGTTCCCTGCTTTGGAGGAGGCACTGAGTCAGAAAATTGTGGTGTCCATGTTGGAGGTGGGATACAAGCATGGAGGGGTAATGCTGAGCACCCACTGAACCATCTGCCACAGAAATCAGATATGAGCTAAAAAATAAAATGTGGCAAGGGCAACAGAGACTTTTTCTATACATCTTTATTTTTAATAAAATATGGTAATGTTTTCAATAATAACTTTAAGAATGTATAGAAGAGCACTATAAATACAAAATGCCAAAAGATCACATTAACTGAGATTTGTGAATAATTTTATATTAACTGTGAACAATCCTACTAAACATGAAATTTAAGAATTCCATTTTTCCTGATGATTAATGGATGATTGAAACTCAATAATTAAACAGAAACATGCAAACACAAATCCAATAAATAATAGCTGACAAAGATCATCAAAAACTGGGGCGGGGGGAGAAAACTGGGGCTTAATCCACCTGTTAATATGTGGTATTATAGAAGGATTACATATTTTTTAAGCAGACAGATCAGAGTTCATATACTGTCTCTGAATGAGCAAGGGCAAAGTGTTAATTAATTTGAGCTTCTTTCTTTACCATCAAAGGTGCATGTTAATATGCTTAGACAAAATTATTATTAGGAATGAATAATTTATTAAAAACTTGACAAGAAATAAATGTCAAGAACTATGAAGGGTCTCAGACTTTATCCTACTTGCAAGCTAACAAGTTAACCTGTCACAGTTAGATGGATGATCGTAGAAGACATGGGACTTGTGGGTTAGAGATGAAAGACAGTTTATTACTCACAGAAATAGCAGTAGACAGAGTATCAGCATTTTTCCACCATTTCCAAGCAGCCCAGTTCCCACAGTGTGACACAAGCAGGGCCAAATAACACCTGCACATCAGGTGGGCTGTATTATAGGGAGACGAACCGTGAGCTTAGGGAACCCCAATTTTTTTTCAGGAGGGTGGGGGGTGGTGAGTATGCCTGCCCTCTGTTCCAGAAGGAGACATTGTTTTTATCTTGAAAGACTGTAAGCAACCCTTTGCTCCAGATGTGGGCACTATATCTGGGACTGCTGTTCACTATACAGACATCTTAAAAATAGTCTAGGACAAAGTGCTGTCAGCACTTTGATCACAAGATGTGTGAAAACACGAGACACCCATGGGGAATTTTCTCCCACAGCAGCTACTCAACATATTATTAATTCATTCTGTTTTAAAAGTACAATAATGCCTCAGAATAAGAATACAATTGAATACATCTTTCTACATATTCAATTTTATACCAAGGATTTTTTGAAAAATTAGGGAAAATGTTAGCCAATAAATTATTAAATAACTGATATAAATGATATGTGATGAACATTGTTGGAAATTTTGTTATTGATACAACCAATAAATTTAGTGCTGTATTTCAAAATTTAAATTTTGTTAGTTAGAACTCTTTAAGATGTAACTCACACACACACACAAACAGTTTAAAATCGGGGTGCCTGGGTGGCTTAGTCGGTTAAGTGTCAGACTGTTGATTTTGGCTCAAGTCATAATCTCAGGGTGGAGACTGAGCCCTATATCATTGGGCTCTTCACTGCTGGGCATGGAGCCTGCTTGAAAGATTCTCACTCTCCCTCTCCCTCTGCCCCCAACCCCCGTTCACGCTTGCACGTTCTCTCTCTCTCTCTCTCTCTCCCTCTCTCCCTCACAAGCAAAACAAAACAAAACAAAATAGCAATTCTTAAATCACTAGCAAACTGTGGCATCATTGAAATCCATCAGGAAGCTTAAAGTATTAGAATAAATCAAAGAAATAAAAAGCACTCTCCGGACTTTCTCTTTGTCTCTCAATTTTGTTCCTCTGTGGGTGTCAGTTTCATAGAATCATTCTCTGACTCCAAAGACAAAAATTCTCTGTTTTTTCCGCCATCTTGGAGTCTGAGGAGGCCTGCTGGGAACAGGACTCCTATAATGCCAAATAATGTCTGGAAGGCTGTGGTCCAAGGCCATTTTTGCTGGCTATAAGCGGGGTCTCCGGAACCAGAGGGAGCACACAGCTCTGCTTAAAATCGAAGGTGTTTATGCTCGAGATGAAACGGAATTCTATCTAGGCAAGAGATGTGCTTATGTGTACAAAGCAAAGAACAACACAGTGACTCCTGGTGGCAAACCAAACAAAACCAGAGTAATCTGGGGAAAAGTAACTCGTGCTCATGGAAACAGTGGCATGGTTCGTGCCAAATTCCGAAGCAACCTTCCTGCTAAAGCCATTGGCCACAGAATCCGTGTGATGCTGTACCCCTCAAGGATTTAAATTTAATGAAAAGTAAATAAAGGTGTAGATTTGTAAAAAAAAAAAAAAAAAAGAAGACAAAAATTCTCTGCTTTTCTATTGTACATATAAGATGCAAGGTGCCCCCCTGTTCGGTGGGGAGTCTGCTTCTCCCTCTGACCCTCCCCCTCTCATGCTCTCTCTATCTCTGTCTCCCTCCGTCTCTCAAATAAATAAATAAAATATTAAAAAAAAAAAAAGATGCAAGGTGCCCACCTCACACAGTTCAGTTACAGCAACCCAAAGAGAAACCTAAACTTTTCTTCCAAATAAAGAATTCAGGCACTTAGAAAAGTAAATGATATGTCCCCTTCTGGGCTAATCAATTATGCAGGGCTCAGGGATGCTGCACATGGTGGGATGCAGTTTACATTGCTCAAAATGTATTTCAAGGTGCCTTCTAAATTTTAAAGGTAGAAAAGTAGGTAACAGAGAGGCCATTCTCAGAATTCAGGGTCATTCTAACCTAATAATTGTTTCTCACATATTTCCACTGTTCCTTTTAGTATATAATTTATTTTCAACTTAAGATACAGAAAGCACCCTTTATCTTATTACCAATAAAGAGGGGGAAAAATCAGTCATTTGCATCTCTGCAATCCTAAATGGTAACCCCTGGCACAAAAGAGTTCAACTATCACACCAAGTAGCAACTTCATTTCTTTTGACTTAGACACCTGTCAGTCATTAACAATAACATCTTAAGTGTAGAAAGCATTTTTTAGTTTAGAGAGATTTATTCTCATAATTGTATTTTTTTTTGGCTTTTTTTAATTATTTGTTTTGGTCAGCCTGGGTGGTAAGTAATCAATTTTGAGGATCTGATAAAAGCAAAAAAAAAAAAAAAATCACTATGAACATAAACACTATAAATATGATGTCTATCTAGTGGGTGTAGGGAAGAGTATGCATTTTTGAACAGTTATATTTCTAAATCTACGCGAAATATTTACTCTTAGAATAATTATAGTTAGTTGCACCTTGGTATATCTTCACATCTATTTAGCAGACACTTTGTAAAGGTTGGCATTTGCAAGATAACTAGTAGGGTAGTTGTTACCAGTAACTATTAATGAGCAAATATTTAAAACAATGTAAAATTATTGCAAGGTATGGTACCTTTGACATCAAATATCCTCATCAAAATTTACTTTGTATAAAATATTAGCCACTTTTATTTTACTTTGCTATTAAGAAAAAATACATATACAAAATACTATCATATTTCTAAAAAATAATTTCCAACTCCATAAATTGTAGAATAAATGGATCAGATTTTTGCCACCCTCAGAATTTGAAGGTTATATAATTTGTCTAATAAATGAGCCATATAATAAAATGGATACTTACAAAATAAGCTTTGAGTGACGTTATGATCTGTTGAGTTTAAATATGCATTTATTTGGGGGGGTTACTTAATGATCTCTTGCGTTCATAATGCTCAGTATTTGACTCAGAATAGTAATATGCAATAATACCCTAGAAGCCTTTGTTTTAATATTGTATATGTATATATTCATTATAATATCTATCCTCTCATCTCTTTACCCCTCAAGCCTAAATGGGAAATGTTATCTCTTTTATGTTGAGTAATAACTATTTTGCAAAATATAGCCCTCACTAAAATTGTCCAGCCAGAGGCATAAAAGATGAAGCGAGATTAGATAAGTAGAGAAGAAATGGGCCTTACAGCATATTTTTAATTTTGTATCTCTGCTTTGCTTTTTAATTTCCTCTCGTGTGATCATTGGTCCATTCAAAATCCTGATGATATTTTAATTACATTCACTTAAGAATTAAGGACCCGTCTCATGGTTTAGTGGCTTGGAAAAACCACTCTTGGTTGGAAAAATAAACAAGCAAAACTAACAGCATGCACACACACATACATACATGTGTGTACACATACATATATTCCAATAGTTCATTCAACCCTATTAAGTAGATTCACCCATCCACATCTATATTTTCTCCTTATTTGGATGTAGATCCCATCACCCCCAAAAACTATTTTGCCAATGTATGCCTTATCTGGCATTTACATACTAAAATGAATATGAAGTCAAAGAATTATAGCTTAAAAAATGCAAAATTTTAGGATAGTTTTCTGGGATACAAAAATTTATCCAATTATCTGACATGTTTTCTTCCAAATGTTTTTATCCAGGTGAAAAGGTCCAGTTGGCAGTTAGGTAAATGGGATACAAAGGTTTGCATAATACATGAAATCGATATAATTGATTTTGTGCTCATCACCATAGAGCTGGGAATTTAAGAGGGAAAGGCAGTTATAATGAAAATACAGAGGGGCAAATATAAATTCCTATGGAAAAACAATATTTAAGAATTAGTGATAATAAAAAAAACATTTATCAAAAGAAATAAATAGCAGTATATTTGAATAAAATGGCATAAAGTTGTAGTGTGATAAGACCCATAGGAAGAGAAACTTTCAAGATCTGGCAGAGACTTCAAGTAGGATTAAAAGTGAAAAGATTGGTAGTTTGAGGATTATAGTCCATTTTTGCAAGATCTTTCTCAGGTTTTGAAAGACCATACATAAAATTCAGAAATAACTAAGGACCCATTCTCTAAGGTAGAGCTCAGAAGTCAAATCCCCCATGATACCATCCTTGATTCTTCTAGCATTTATTAATTCAAGTGAAGTTCATAGCAGGAATGGGTAAGGGAATGTATAAAGTACTAGAGATAAAAATAAAAGAATTATAAAAGATGGTTTCTGCCTTCATTCTCCTATTTCCTCTAAAAAATTCATTATCTATATCAAAAAATAAAATCATAATTACACAGCAGTATATATTTTCCAGTAATATTTTTGCACATGTCAGCATTCTATCCACAAATACATCAAGTTTTTAATAAAGGGATTATTCTTTACTTGGAAATATAGCACCCCCAAATCAATTGAAAGCTTACCATGTGGTAGCTATAAATAGGATTTCTCCAGATTTAAGGTACTGCTGTACATCTGAGGCAGAAGCACCAGGGGCTAATGACCTTGATGATTCTGACTACGGATTAACTAGAAGTAGGCATCTAAGACTAGAGAGAGGCTTCTATATGCCAAGCACCATTTTGGCAAGAAATAGGAATAAGTGAACAACAATAGCAAACATACCCCTTGTCCCACTCACACTATGGCGATACAGATAATATAGGCTACTAAAAATGCAGTTATAATAAAATGGTGAACTATGTCTGGGAGGGAGGCAGGCTGCTAAGAGAATACACAGAAGAGACATCTAACATGGGTTTGGAGATGAGATTGGCAGGTTGGGAATTGGTCTGAGAAATGGTCCATTCAAAGGGGGAGCTAAAATAAGACCTAAATGATAAGTAGGAACCAGGCAGATAAGTGGATAGAGTGTGTGTGTGTGTATATGTGTGTGCTTATGTGTATGTGTGTGTATAGAAAGTGGAGTTTGCACAGAAATGGTGCTATACAAAGGAGAGAGTCTCAATGAAAGCAAATAAAAGAGAGAGAATAAAGCATATTGAGAGTAGTTCAGTATAGCTAAAGCAAATAATATGAGGGGAAGAGGAATAAAGATGAAGCAAGACAGCTTTCAGGAAAGGCCTGTGAAAGAAGGAAAGAAAGAAAAAGAAAAGAAAAGAAAGAAGTGGCCGTAGAGAACTAAATTGACTAAAATGGGTGGGGGGAGAAAAAGACTGATTCTAGGTGACCAATTGGAAGGCAGGACTAGCACAGGAGTAGTAGGGCTGGGCAGAGGTTCTAGTTGTATTTAGGCAGCAGAGTCTGTAGTATGTGGTATTTGATGTAGGAACAGAAGAAAAATGAGAAGTCAAAAATTTAACCACTTGGGAGAAAATAGTTGAAGTTGAATGTATTTGGGAAAATAATGAATGAGTTCAATATTAGAAATATTATTTTTAAGTGCTGGTAAGATACTCAGGTGGAGAAGTCCTGAAGGAGATCAGATACAAATTAGAAGATCCACAGAAAGAGAGAGGTCTTTTTTAAAAGACATTTTCAGAATCAACATATAGATAGTGATTGAAATACCAGGAGTAGACAACCTCACTCAGGGAAAGTATGTTGAATAAGATGAAGACCTAAGAAGCTTGGTCACATATGAAAACAATTTAAGTGTCTATCAAGAGATGAATAGATGGGACATCTGGGTGGCTCAGTCGGTTAAGCATCTACCTTTGGCTCAGGTCAGGATTCCCGGGCTCCTGGGATCAAGTCCTGCATCGGGCTCCCTGCTCAGCGGGGAGTCTGCTTCTCCTTCTCTCTCTGCCCCTCCCCCCACTCATGCTGTCTCTCAAATAAATAAATAAAATCTTAAAAAAGAGAGAGATGAATAAAAGAAGAGAGTTAAATATATTTTTAGTTTATAAATAAATATATATTTATATATTATATATTTTTAAAAAGATTTATTTATTTATTTTACAGAGAGAGAAAGAGGAAGTGTGTGTGAGTGTGGGAAGAGGCAGAGAGAGAGAATCTTCCAGCAGACTGCACGCTAAGTGTGGAGCCTGACATGGGGCGCCATCTCACAACCCATGAAATCATGACCTGAGCTGAAATCAAGGGTTAGACACTTAACCAATACATAACCAATTGAGCCACCCAGGTGCCCTATATAATATATATATATTTAATATATAACTGAACATATATAATTTAATTTACATTAAAAAAAGGAAATCTTACCATTCGTGACAACATGGATGGACCTTAAGGGCATCATGCTAAATGAGATAAGTCAGACAGAGAAAGACAAATACTGTATGATCTCACTTACATATTGAATCTAAAAACAACCAAACTCACTGGAAGAGAGTAGAATGGTGGTTAACAGGGACTAGGGGTGGTAGGAGTGGGGGAGATGTTGGTCAAAGGGTCTAAAGTTCCAATTATAAGATGAATAAATTCTGGGGATCTAAGATACAGCATGGTGATTATAGTTAATAATACTGTATCATATACTTGAGAATTACTAAAAGAGTAGGTTTTAGGG